GGGGGGGGGGGGGGGGGCAACCGGAAATGACGTATCTCGCCGGAAGTGCGCGTGTTTGTGTTTCGAAACACGTTCAATTTTCCGGTTTATTGAAAATCGTATTGCAAATGTTTGAATAATATTTTTTATTGTTTTAATTTTATGTTTTTTTTTTGCAGAATACACTAACAATAATACTTAAATGTTTTTAAATATTACCTCAAAATTGACTAAAAGAATTTTTTAAACAGATAAAATTTACTTAAACAATATACAAATTAAAGCTACAATAAATAATTAAAATACAAAATCTTACTAATATTATAAATGCGAATGTTTAGATGTATGGATGTTTGGCATGTTTGACCTCGCGGATATTTGGCACAGATATAGAACAAAGTCTGAAAGAACATATAGACTACCAATTAAGTTTTTTAATTCCTTGCGGACGGAGTCGCGGGTGACTGTTAGTAAAATGATATATATAAGTATTACATTTAGTAAAATGATGATTTTGTGTCAAAATTAAATATAACTGTTCGTGTGTTGCACTCCGCGCCCGCACCCGCCCCCCCCTTGTGCCTGGGGGAGGCAATACGTAAGCGGCTTTTGTTTAGTTAAATATTTGAAGTACAGGGTGTGTCCGACACGCCCCGCCCCCTGCAACCCCTTCTCCCCTGCCCCCGTTACCCGCACTGGTCACTTCATATCAAACCCTTTATGTTTTGTTTCTATGAAATCTATTCTCTCTTTCACACCAACAAATGGTGAAAGAGATAGTATTAACTGAGCAATGCAAAGTGTTAAACAAAGAACAGAGCTGACTTTCATTCGTAAGTAATAATTTTGGCAAATATTTTTTTTTTGCATATTTTTTAGTCGACTTCAATAAGAAGGAGGTTAATTAATTTGTCTGTATTTTTATGATAAACTAGCTGTCGCCCGCAACTCCGTCCGCGTGGATATATAAGAAAACTTAATATATAGATAAGTTAAATAAAAAGCAGCTCTTCAAGGCATAATTAAAAAAAAAATTGAATAAATAGTATCCTATGTCCGTCTCCTGGCTCTAAGCTACCTCCTCAACAATTTTCAGTCATATCGGTAAAGCCGTTCTTGAGTTATAAATAGTGTAACTAACACGACTTTCTTTTATATATATATTCTTAAAGAAATTTCTTACTTTCGAACGTTCATCAAAATTATGTTTTTGTTACTTTTTAGAGCGTTTTGTTAGAATATTTTATTCATGAATTTCGGCTTTCTTTAAAAAAAATATATAGAAAGATTGTTATTTTTGAATGTATCTGCTTACTCTAAATCAGTAACAGAGTAAACAAATATATATTAAACCTATTAGCTACCCCGAGGGATGCACGCGCCCCCCGGGAGCTGACATCCCCCGGGGGGTTGGGGGAGGTTTAATATTTAAGGAGAACATTATCTGTATAACGGATAGTTGTTAAAATCGAGTACATCTTTGCTTCACAGTTGAAGAATTAAATTTCCTACCCAATTAAGATGGAATATCCTACACTACGTTGTTACCACAAGCCCATTTACACGTGCGTTTATCGCGCGTTAAAAACGTTCAAATATATCAAACGCCACGTTTTTTTTATCGCGCAGTGTTGCATTTTGAACGCTGGGCGAACGAAATTACTGTGATTTTAAAGCGTTCATCGCTCCAGAGCCGCCAACATCAAGTTTTATTGCAGCGTTTAAATACGAATGTTTGGTTGGATGGATGTTTGTTAGAAGGTATCTCCAGAATTGCTACATAGTCTGGAAGAACACATAGGCTACTAAGTTTTAATTTATACCACGTGAAGGAAGTCGCGTGCGAGAGCAAGTCTTAGGATGTACCAAAGTTCGCTGTTTTACAGTAACATATGTACAAGTTTTGTTATTTATTAAATTATTTCATTAGTTAAAAGATTATAATTTATTTAAGATAAGAATGTAGAATAATAATTAATTAATCAAGACAAAGATTAAACTGTATATTTTGGATTTTATACTTTTACAAGCGGTCGCTCACGACTTCTTTGCGCTGGAAAAGGTATCCTATAACATGGCCGTGTACATCAGCTACCTTCCCGTTTAAGTCCTGTCAAAATCTGTCCACACGTTCCGAAGATAACCCGGAACATACGCTGATTTGCAGACAGACACAAAAGTTTTAAAATTTGGTTTATCTCTATCAGCACTATGCGTATACATATACGAAATACGATTTTTTTTTTCTCAAAATAGACACTCTTTTTTTATTTTATTCATTTCTAAAGACTAGCTATCGCCAGCAACTTAATAAGTAGTTTATGTGTTCTTCCAGACTATGTTCTACATGTGTGTCAAATTTCATCGAGATCCGTTCAGCTGTTCCGGAGTTGCCTTCAAACAATCATTTATCTAAACATTCTGGTTTATAAAATTAGTAGGATTATATTTAATACAATCGAATTTCGACTTTATTTAAAGAACATTGTAATCAAATTTAATCAGAAAACGATTAGCCAGATATCGCGTATTTCCTAATCTCGGGAAATACCCAAAAAATTAAAAATTTAGATAAGAAAATGTTTTTTAATTTTACACAAATTAAATTTTAAAAAAATAATAATGAATACTTTTCCTTAAGTCGAATCAATTCCGCGTTTCCACTTATTTTAGCCTACATTTTTCTTGTAAGATAGGATTGGAAAGATGATGTGGATTTGGCGGAGACGACTCTTTGGTGTATTTTACTATTTATATCCACTAACTAGTTATTTCCTGCGCGTCTCGTTCCGAACGAAAATAAAAAAAAATTGTATGTGTACGTCCAGACTATATTATATAATACATTTATGTCAAATTTCAGTGAGATTTAGGATAAATATTCGCATTTGTAATATTAGCAAGAGTAAGATTGTTATTTTATAATTAACTAGCTGTCGCCCGCGACTCCGTCCGCGTGGATATATAAAAAAAAACTCAATATATATATAAGTTAAATAAAAAGCACCTCTTCAGGGCATAAATTCGAAAAAAAACGAATAAATAGTATCCTATGTCCGTCTCCTGGCTCTAAGCTACCTCCTCACCAATTTTCAGCTATATCGGTAAAGCCGTTCTTGAGTTATAAATAGTGTAACTAAACACGACTTCCTTATATATATATATATATCTGCATGTAGTAATGTTGATAAAACTTAAAAAAAAATCATCGCAAATTAATCGCAGCCTACTCTAAGTGAGAGTATATGATAGTGAATGCTGGCCAAGTGCGGGTTGACTTCACACATATGTTTGAGTTTGTCAGATATGTGCAGCATCACGATGTTTTCCTTCACCGTAACAACACATTGGTACATGGCGGGATTTAATTTTGGACGTATCGATTAACACGTACAGCTACAACTTAATTCTTTATTATTTCTTCTTCTTCTTGAGGGTTCCTCGTTTAGCGAAGGTTAGTAAAGTCGGAAAAGGTGACTGAACAGCGAAGTGACCCATAGACATTTGCACTATGTGTAAATTAAAAAAAATGCTAAATCGTTGCCTTTTTGTAGACATCATGTCCACCTCCACTACCTCCACCCATAGACAAGAGGAAATGGACTAGAGTGCCTCCTTCTGTCTGGCCGAGTAAGATATTATTGCAGTAACATTTTGTGGACTGACTATTTAATAACTAAGGGATATATTAGAAATTAGTTTATTTTTATAAGTTCTCGTATCGATTTTAATGATTTCAGATTCAATGTTAATCTGTGCTATCGCTTCCTACGATAACTAAGTTTAAATTATTATCCGTCAAAATTACTGACGTCTTTCTTATCATGATAAATTACAATAATCTTTAAATTGACATATTTTATTAGTATAAAAGGTTAAACAGCTTGTCGCCAGTATCCCTGGAAGCCGTCAGAATGAAGTTATTAGTTGTTGCTGCAGCCTGCTTGGTGGCGCTGGTCGCCGCGGAGGAGCCCATCGTGCTCCACTACCATGAGAACATCGGCTTCAAGCGCGCGGAGCAGATCCGCCAAGCTGAGCTGGCGGCGGACTTCGACGGCAACAGGATCACTGGGGGATCCGCGGCATCACTCGGCGCCTACCCTTTCATGGTAATCAAATATATCTTACCAAATTTGCTGTCAGTTTGTGTCTGAGTGAAAATTGTGCAGAGACTAATTAGTTGTTTAGTCTTCTTTCCCTACCCACCCTTTTAGTATAAAGGAAAATATGGGATGGGGAAGTGAATTGGAGGGAGGAGACGCATAGAAAGGAGAAAAAATCGAATAGCACAGTTCCTTATTCAAAACTGTAGTTTTCAGAGTACTGAGGGTATAGTAATAAAATTTGTTACACGCGCCTTCGTAGCATCATCTACAAAATATGTAAAAATTTCTATAAGATTTGTCAGAGCTTGTTCTATTTTACAACCGGTAGTGGCGCTGAAATTGATAACATTACCTAAACGTTCTCATAAATATTCGTGCTAGGGCCTCAGATTGTCATGATGATCACTGATCTTCGAAAGGAGATGGCAGTTTAAGAAGAAGCTTACATGACTAAACCGTCATTCAATTCGTAAATGCTTTAAAAACGAATTTGTGTATCAGGGCGGTCTGGTCATCGCTATGACCACCGGTCAGACCTCAGTCTGCGGCTCCTCTCTGCTGACCAACACGAGGCTGGTGACCGCCGCCCACTGCTGGTGGGACGGTCGCAGCCAGGCGCGTCAGTTCACCGTCGTCCTCGGCTCCATCCGTCTCTTCTCCGGCGGTACCCGTATCAACACCAACAGAGTACAGATGCACGGCAGCTGGAACCCCAACAACGCCAATAACGATGTAGCAGTGATCACCATCAACTCTGTCAGCTACAGCAGTGAGTAACTTGTCTTTACAAACAACTTCTAATAAACAATAAGAAATCGACGATATAATTTCCGCGAGTCTCCCTCCCATCTACTATGTTTGTAAATAAAATTGACCTATTTGTTAATATTGGTTTTAGCTGTTTGAGGTTGAATATTTAATCGTTATTTCAGACAACATCCGTAACATCGCCATGGCTTCTGGCAGCAACGATTTCGCCGGTACTTGGGCCTGGGCTGCTGGCTTCGGTGCTACTGGAGATGGTGAGTCGCTATTACCTTATGAACTCGTTGAAATGGTACTATACCACGACTACATAGAAAATAAGCGTGAAGAGGATGACACTCCGCGTTTCGTTTAAATGTGCGTTGTGATGGCCTAATTCTAGTGCCGTTCCACTTTACACCTTATTCTTGTAAGAACAAAATGGGTAAGTGGATAGTTTTTGTTTCCCTCATTTCACTTATACTCATATCCGCACTCTGTTGTCAGGTCACAACATCGGCTCCAACCAGGCGCTCTCCCACGCCCGTGTGCAGGTTATCACCAACGCCGTCTGCAGAAACACCTTCGGATCCTCCATCGTAGTAGCCTCCACCCTCTGTATCAGTGGTGCCAACCGCGTCAGCACTTGCGGCGGAGACTCCGGTGGTCCGCTCGTCGCCAACAACCAGCTCGTCAGTATCATCTTTCTTTATTACTTTATTTGAACAGTTGCAACAACACGACCACACTAAAGACATGCTTCGATACCCGAGTTTATGCTGATAACTTTCTTATAAGGAAATGCTGCGATAAATAGCTACTATTTTAGCGCTTCTGTTACCAGCAACATTCTTGTCTTTCGCGACATGAGTCTTACGTTACAATTGCTTACAGATTGGTATCACATCGTTCGGTTCCCCGCGCGGCTGCCAACAGAGCCTGCCCGCTGGTTTCGCTCGTGTCACCTCCTTCAACTCCTGGATCTCCGCCCGCCTTTGAGCGCCTTCATCTGACGGACTCGACAACTGCCTAAAGACTTAATAAAATATACTTTTCTGAAATGTTTGTCGATTCTATTTAATACAGTAAATCACTGTTACAGATGACGACCTTTATTTCCTACGCATTTCGATGACGTTTTGTTTGACTAGTCTTGTGGAAATCACCTCTAACCTCAGCTTATATAAACTTGAACACTTGAATTGTGTTTCAACAACTAAAAAACATTTAAAGCTTTTGAGTACCAGCTTAGTTTATCACAACTCGATCTCTCTCTGTGCATCTTATCCGCGAGGGTCGTACGAGTTGAGGTTTTCAATCATCATCAGCTCACTATACGTCCCCAACGAGGGGTTCGGAGCCTACCCTAAGTTAAAGGTAATAAGGCCATAGTCAACCACGCTGGCCAAGTGCGGGTTGGTTGACTTCACGCATATCTTTGAATTTCTTCTCAGATATGTGCAGGTTGTATCACGATGTTTTCCTTCACCGTAAGAACGTCGAATAAATGTACATATGTAAATCGGAAATCGAAAAACACATTGGTACATGGCGGGATTCGAACCCTGGATCTGCAGATTGCAAGTCAAGTGCTTGACCACTGATCCAGGGACGAATCAAAATCAAACTTTCATCAATTGATGAATTAAAAAACATTTATTATTTTCCATCATAATCAATAACTAGCGCCCGCCCGCGACTTCGTCAGCGCAAAATTAAATTTAAAAAATAACCTATACGCATATGCTCGCTTACATTGTTTGTTTTTCTGTCCAAGTTTCGTCAAAATCGGACAGACATAGACACAAAAAAAATTGCTTATTTGTTAGCTACAAGCCATTACATTGTGTGCTAAATATAATTTTTATGTATAATACATACAGACTATCCAATTTTATAAATATATAAAGATTTTCAATTAATAACACCGTATCAAATCATCCAGAATATAACGTAAATAACGACGAAAACCGTATTTTCATCCCATTTATAGTTTAGTCGAACATTTAGTTTGATTCTTTACTCTCTCAACAACAATATACTAACCTAACGCCGGCGCTGTTTGTGTTCACAATTATGAGAGAAACAACGAGGATTCATTTGTGGCGTAAAATAAAATTGCTTGTTATAGAAAAATAAACTTTTATTTATTCCGATTAACCAGATACGTTTACATGCGGGCCCGGATCCAGGAGTTGAAGGAGGTGACACGAGCGAAGCCGGCGGGCAGGTTGCGCTGGCAGCCGGTGTCTGATCCGAATGATGTCACACCGATCTGAAACAGTGACGTCATAAGTTAGTCACAACATATGTAGGAAAGTAGTGGAAAGAATGTCTGACGGATTAATATGAAACATTCAGGAGTTATAGGAGCCTTTAGATGACTCAAAATCAGATTTCACATGTAAATTAACATGGCGTTCCTACGGTAAAGGAAAAAATCATGATGCAACCGTGGCCGTGTTTAGGACAATCTCGAGCTCTTATAGTAGCCACCTATAACGAGGTTATTCTACTGACCAGCTGGTTGTTGGCGACGAGTGGGCCGCCGGAGTCTCCGTGGCATGTGCTGACACCGCCAGCACCGCTGATGCAGAGGGTCGAAGCAATGATGACTTGTGGCCCGTAGACCTGCTGGCACGCAGCATTCGTGATAACCTGAACACGAGCGTGCGCCAGGGTCTGCGTGATGCCTACACTACCTCCTGTAACATATTAAAGTGGAAAATATTAAAGTACTAGCACGAATACGTTACAGAGAAAAACTTAATTAGTATTCTACATCTATACCTAATTGTATAAAGCTCAGTTGAGCTGTTCTGGAGTCACTCTGTAACAAACATAAGCTGGAGGAAGTATTTTGAAACGTATCGAAAATCGGAATGTTGGAATATAAGCAAATGTGAAACAAGGAGGAGATAATATGCGCTTATTTTATCAGGGTCGATCAGCACCAAGACATTGTTGAACTTTGATCAGTTAAAGGCGAAGTAAATGTAACTTAAAATTTAGTAGCAAAATAGAATGAGTTCTGACCATCTCTGGTAGCACCGAAGCCGGCAGCCTGCGCCCACTGACCGGCGAAGTCATTGTTGCCAGACGCGAGTCCAATGCTGTTGATGTTGTCTGTAACAATCGCCGTACAATTATTAATTTTATACCATTTTAATACGAGGTAAAATATTTGAAAGTGTATTTTTGTTGTAACCAATATAACTGAAGTCTCGGCTTGTATTGTAAGAATCATCACATCACTCAGTCTGCTATTGCTGTCTCAATAAATTCAAGTAAAATGATAAGGATGACCAGGGCCGGTTACAGCATTTCCGCTGCCCTAGGCGACATTTATGCGGCATCCCCTTTTTTTGGTGCCGGGAGAAATCGTCCAATGATGGGTATCTTATGGGGACACCATAGGCTTCCCTCTCCGCGACTCTGGCGCCTCCTGCGCCCCCTTACGCCCGGGACCGTGTATAGTCTCCCCACCTCACATATATCGGCAAACTCACTGTTGAAGCTCACAGAATTGATGATAATAATGGCGATATCATTGTTGACTGTGGAAGGGTTCCAGCTGCCGTGCATCTCCACTCTATTCGTGTTTATGCGAGTGCCGCCGAAGAACAGTCTGACTGATCCGAGGACGACAGTGAACTGACGCGCCTGGTTGCGACCGTCAAACCAGCAGTGGGCGGCGGTTACCAGCCTCGTGTTCGAGATTAAAGTGGACCCGCATACTGACGTCAGTCCGTTGGTGAGAGTGATGACCAGACCGCCCTGTAAGAGAGAAACAAATAAAATTATAGTCGAAGATTCGCTCGACTCTTTGGTTTAATATGCATATAAAGTAAAAGAATAAATTTCCGGCATCAGTGTTGCCAAATGCACAGAAACCTACAATTATAGAGTGAATAGGGCTTTGCTTATCTCCAGTTAGTTTTATGTATTATATTTAACGACTACATCAGCAGGTAAAGAACAAGAGCTAGATTTTTCATCACGATCTTATAGTACTTAATAACTTTGCAGTTTTGTACTTTAGCTTATTTGTCCAGATAAATAATTCGAATAGGACATACCATGAAGGGATACTGTCCGAGTGCAGCTGCAGAACCGCCTACAATTCTGCTGCCGTCGAAGTCAGCCGCCAGCTCGGCCTGTTTGATCTCCGTAGCGCGCTGGATGCCGACATTCTCATGATAGTGCAGGAGAACCTTCTCCCGCGCGCCCTCTGCCTGCACCAGACACGCAACCGCCAAACACAAAGCAGTCAGGAGTTTCATTTTAAAAATTATCTCGTTTAATTAATACGTTATTACCTTTTATACCAAAATACATACTTATTATTCGAGATTAATATGATATTTCAAGATAATGTCTAAAGTTTGGATTCCAGTTTTATTGATAAATTCCTTGCAATAATCATAATTACGATAATTTAATGAGATACAATAATATCAATTATATTTTTGTTGTCAACCACATTGTTTGTGTGTAACTGTGTACAGTCAGCTTTTATATCGGTCACATTTAAATAAGCTTTTTAGTATCATTACGTTATATTATTAGTACGAATCCACACCATCGTTAGAAATCGCTACAATCATCACCAAAATGGCGTAAATCATATAGTCACAAAATTTCACGTCTTATAGCCTGTCTATTTATCATTGTATCAAGTTGATTTTAATCTGCGAATATCTTATCTGTAGATCAACTTGAGCTGGTCAATTCCTCGGGTTCTCGCGGTCTATATTTCTACGTTTGTAACGTCGATACTCCTCAAACTGGGTCAAATAAATCATTGGATGACATTTTTGTTTCCACGTCCACCAATAACTCAAGGGTTGACAAGTTTGTCTTTTTAATTAAGTTTATTATAAGTATACAAGTGTACGTTTTATTCGTAACTATTTCTTAAAAAATAACAATATTCGAATTACAGTTTATTAATAATGTTTTAAAACTAAAAGTCAGTCTGAGAACACTCACATTTTAATTTTTTACATTCCGATTAAAATAAAAATGAAAATCCTTAGTGACATCTGCTGGCCATTATGTTTTTTTTTATTTTGTTTAGTTTCGCTATTGATCACAAGATGTCATCACTAAATTAAAAGTGACAAAATAAAATAAGAGATGTCGCCAGATGTGCATGCAGTAAATAGTTTCGCTATTACTCACAAGATGTCACTTAAATTATAAAGTGATAATATTTTTCAAAGAAATCATTACACATACGAATACTAATCCTCGACAACATGAAACAACAAGCAAATGGTGACAGCTACTCAGAATGTGTCATTATTATCAAAATACTAAAGTTCTTGTTTAGACAATAATGTTAAATATATTTTCATCACTACCTTAATATGTTTCTGATTTTTTTTGATAAAACAGTCATTAGTCATTTTAAAAAACAATTAAGTCCCATGCACTGTATATTTGCCTGCCACTCGAGTCCTCCGTCTGCAACCCGTATAGTATTAGGGGTCAGGAAGTCAAAGTCAATCATTTTGGCCCAGTGCTGGTTGACTTCACACGTATTTTTGAATTTATTGTTGTATTCTTTCAAGTTATAAACGTGGGATAATGTGTGTTCATATTTTAATATTGCTGTGCCGTCGCTTTTACGATTTATAAAACCAGTAACATTTGAGAACAATTGTGGTTGCTCGGGGTGCGGCACTCTGTAGAACGCACCACGTCTGGTGCTCGCAGCTAACCACGTGACAAGTCAACAAGACAGTAAAAGTGGTACACGCTAGTACAGTACTCCAAGAACATAGGCGTGGATTAGAAGTAATTCCGCGTATAGCATGATGTGCATATGTTCCTTACGTCTCATTTTAGTCCTCTTTCCCTTCTCACCCAATTCTTATAAGGAATGGATGGGCAGGGAAGGGAAATATTCTCTTTCCACGCATGTCCTCCGTGGATTAAAGGTAGGCAACGCATCTACAGTTGCGGAGTGAGCAGGAGTCGCTTCGCTGTTTCTGCAAAATCAAATTCCTGCTTGCTTATTTGCCATCTAATAATAATACTCTCATTCTGAAGACTCGAGTAACCGAATGCCGTTTTATATGTCAACGTTTAAGATAATTGTAATTAATCGATAGTGTCATCCGGAATTAACATTTCGTAGATTCTAGAGATCGATTATATCTCACATCGCGATTTAAATACCTGCATTTCTGTATAAGTGTAAATAAAGGTTAACGCGCATTACCCCACTCCTCCACCTCGTACTGCTATATTATTATAAATGTTGCCCGTGGTTCCGTCCGCGTGAGATAATTAGTAGTCTGTATGTTCTTTCAAACTATGTTCTACATCTATGCCAAAATTTCAAGAAGGTCCATGAAATAGTTCTAGAGAAACTTTTTAACGAACATTCATCCATCTAAACATTCGTATTTATATTGTCACTTGCAAAATTTCCGAGAGATTGTTGTTACCCTAAAATTGTCTAACGCATTTCTATTTTAGCGAAGTCAGTCGCTCGCTTACTGCGCTGCCACCTTTACTATCAATAAATGCAAGTGATATCACAATCACTGAGGAAGGAAACAGATTAAATAATGACAAAGATAAATCACACTAATTACATATCATATTTATGTCGCAATCTTCATTATATATATACAGGTTGTTCCAAAATAAGTGCAACAGTAAAAAACAAAACATTTTTTCGGTAGCCCAAATGTTATACTGTAGTTTCTGCTTATAATGAAGGAGAATTAAAGACGTAGCAGTGGAATCTTACTTTTTATTCATATAAACCTCACATATTCTAAAACAAACTTTCATCCCCTATTGTTATTTTGCACTCTTGAGAGTAAAATATTTACAAACATTGAGTAATATTTAATTATGTCAAATTAACAGTCTAAAAAAAAGGTTCAAACTTCGAGCAGTGAAAACGACGATACAGCCATACAAATTTCCACCCTCACTTTCAACCCCTCACAACCATTTTTCACGTTAAAAAGTAGTCTGTGTCCTTTCTCACGCTCTAGACTACCTGTGTAGCAAATTTCATTTAGATCGGCTCAGTAGTTTTAGGTGAAAGAAGAACAGATAGACAGACAAGCAGACAGACGGAGTAACTCTCGCTTTTGTAATATTAGTAAGGATGATCGAATTTCAACTAATAGGCGAGTATGAGTTAATTAACAAACAGAATTTCCAAAAGCATTAGTTGACTCTCTCGCGAATACTTTTTGTACAAGCTCGTACTTTACTACGTATATTTATTTAGACAATCAAAGTGCAAAGTTTATTGTAATAATTATGAGAAGAAATCTTAATTAGAAACATCAGAAAATTTTATATATTTAATATATCGCTGATGTACTCAGAGTACTTCCGATGCGATGCGCAGCTGAATTACTCACAGAAATATAATAATTAACGATTATCCGACACTATCATAACTAATTATAATTATCTATTTACAGCGTTATAAAAACTAGGCCTGGACCCAACCGAGCACATCACATCAAGTACCAAGCAAGATGAAGCTCTCTCTGGTCGCCCTCTCCTGCCTGCTGCTGGCCGCCGCCAACGCGTACGAGCAGATCGACCTCAACTACCACGAGAATGTGGGCATCCCCAAGGCGGAGGCCATCCGCCAGGCGGAGCTCGCCGCAGACTTCGACGGCAGCAGGATCGTCGGTGGCTCCACTGTCAGCCGCCTCGGAGAGTGGCCCTTCATCGTAAGCTGACAACTTCCTGTATAATTGTGTCATGGATCATTGAAAGAAATGACTTACACAAATCACATTCGCATCATGATTAAATAAACAGTATTACATATACCTTTTTTAGAATAGAGAAAGATTTTGTCTAGGAAACAGAAGTGGTGCAAATTGGAAGAGGGTCAGCAAATTTTATTTGGAGTCGGTATCCTGAACTGCTGACAATATTGATGTTTGTGTCCGTAGTATTCATAGTAAAATGTTTTCGTTATAGTTTCATAATAATGATTATTTAGTAAAATGTGTAATAACTGTTGAAAGCCAAACCATTACATGTGTCTCAATGTTCTATGTACCTTCGCAGGGTGGTCTCGTCATCTCGCTGACTGACGGCAGACAATCTGTCTGTGGCTCCTCCCTGTTGTCTACAACCAAGCTGGTGACCGCTGCCCACTGCTGGCGCACGCACAACGTCCAGGCGCGTCAGTTCACCGTCGTCCTCGGCAGCCTGCGCCTCTTCTCCGGTGGCACCCGCATCAACACCAACCGCGTCGAGATGCACAGCAGCTACAACATGAATACATTGAACAACGACATCGCTATGATCACCATCAACAGTGTCAACCTTAACAGTGAGAGTGTTTATTATTCTTCAAAGTACCTTCATGACCAATATTTCCTTCTCTTTTTGGATAGAGTTTTGAAAGAAGACTTTAATAGTTTTTGCGTATATAGTTTCCAAGGTTTACAAGGTCAAGCTTATTCACTGTTAATATTTTCTCCATTAGAACACCAGTAGAACCTAGCTCCTAGGTTAGCGTTTATTCCTGGATAAGAAACGTCTTAATCATGGAAGTATTATGTATTCCAGACAACGTCAACACGATCGCTCTCGCTTCCGGCAGCAACAACTACGCCGGCTCCTGGGCGCGCGCTGCTGGCTTCGGACTGACCAGAGACGGTGAGAGAATATAGTGTTTTTATATCGCCTTTTTGCACTGTTTAAGAAATATTCAGTAGCATTAAGCCGGTGAAATTCACCGAACAGATGACTGACAGGAACCTCCTGGAATCCTAATAAGATTAAAGAACTGTCCGAGGTTAGAATTGAAACTCAATACAAGTATGAACATATTTTAAACATTTGCAGGAGGCGCCATCTCCAACAGCCAGGCGCTGTCGCATGCTCGACTTCAGGTGATCACCAATGCCGCCTGCAGGAACACGTATGGCTCCGCCGTGGTGGTCTCCTCCACGCTTTGCGTCAGCGGCGCCAACCGCATCAGCACTTGCAGCGGTGACTCCGGCGGCCCGCTCACCACGGATGACAGAAGGACACTTGTAAGTATTATATTTCTGTATAAGTAACTAATACTACTCTAATACTACTAACGACCGACGATATATTGTTTGCTTGTCCTTTGACAGATTGGTATCACGTCATTCGGCTCCGACAGCGGATGCCAGCGCAACCTGCCCGCCGGCTTTGCTCGTGTCACCTCATTCAACTCCTGGATCCGGGCCCGCATGTGAATACTACCTGCTCTTTTTAATATTTCAAATTAAATAAACGACTCCTTTACATTAAACTTGCATATTATTATCGATCTCTTCTCTCTCTCTCTTCTTTTATTTAATCATGCTGTATAGTACTAACTATAATTTTGTCGTTCGCAATAAACACGCTACGTACTATTATAAAATTTTATTGAATTCTACATATCTGTGGCAATTAAAGAAATTCAAAACTGGACATAGAAATACATTCTCGCTTTTCTCCACTCGTTATCGGCCTGGCAGTAGTGATTGTCACTTGACAACGATTTATCGAATTTATACGATGTTTTCATTACGAAATATAGTATTAATTCGATCTTTTGACATATCTTTATTGTATTTTATCTATTTATTTATATAAAAAATGGAACATTTACTTCGGAACCACAAGCCGTCACAAAGTTTGCGTCATATGATCTTGCGTTGAAAGCGAGTTGAGTTATATCACCTAACTGATGCGATTTAATATAAATGTATAAGTCTGTTCAATTTTAATAGCAAATTAAATAATTCCAAATCAACTTCGCTGCAAATAAACATCATCATCAGTTCACTATATGTCTCCATTGAGGGGCTCGGAGCGTACCCTAACTTAGGGGTGACTAGGCCATAGTCAATCACGCTGGCCAAGTGCGCGTTGACTTTTCACATACGTAAATAAATATTTAAACAAAAAAAAATCGTAATAGCATTCACAAGAAAATTGTTATATCAAAATTGAATAATTGCAAGTAATGCCATCTATCGGATATATTTGGTACTTTAGTTTTAAAATAAGATGCATGGTTGTATTTTTTGCTTAAGAGATGTCACTAATATTATAATTTTTGATATTTGAAAGGAAACTGATTTAAGAAGCATATTTGTCCTTCCAGACTATGTTCTATTTATTTACATAAAATTTTATCGAGATCCGTTCAGCCGTTCTGGGTATACCTTCTAACAAACATCCATTCATCTTAACTTTCGTATTAATATTATTAGTAAAATACTTGTAACATTAATTTGTTCATTAAAATTTCACTCCTAAGTCTTACCAAATTATGAATTAATTTATATTTGTTGCCAAGTTACTCCAGATCGGACAGAATCTGGATAAAATTAAACACAGAGATACATTACAGTCTAGTTACTATTAATGCCGAAAATAATGTTGTTTTTGTGACACATTTGTTTTTGTCTAGTGTACTGAAATCCTTGGGAGTAAGGGGTAACTAGTGGTCAGGAATCATCTCTATGTCACCCCTCATTTACAACCCTTCTCTTACGAGACGCTATTTTTTTTATTTTAAGTGGAAAGCTAATTTGCATAGTAATGAAACAAATTATTATAGAAATTTAAAGCATCCTTTATTGTGATCACAGCATTTTGTAGTTCAGTTGAGCAGCTCACAGCCGGGAACTGATCCAGGAGTTGAAGGAGGAGACGCGCGCGAAACCGGCCGGGTGACCGCGCTGGCAGCCGTTTGGTGATCCGAACGATGTGATACCGATCTGTAACACAATTGAATTGTTCACACATTCTTCTTCGAAAATTTGTTATAGTAAATATTGGAATCCTTCTGCACCATCCTCTGTTCATTTAGATATGTCTATGGGTTATGGTCTCTTCGGCTTAGATTAACCAAGATTCCAACTTTAGGTGCTATCTGTTGAGCAAATTAAACAAGAGAGCCATCTATCGTTGGATAGTTGAAACGTATTCTCATGACGATATATTAAAATTTGTGTATGGACGCTGAATGCTTATAGCGCTGTTAAGTAAATTATCTCAGAATGACGGCCAATAGTGTGTCTTCGCGAATTACTATCGATATTTCTATAAAGTTATCTTTTTAAAGACGAAACTTTGCTCGTATCTTAAATACGCCGACATGTAACCTACTGTTCAAGATTCCTGGAGTGTGATTAAAGTTATTGCACAAAAGAGGGCGCTGTAAGGTCAAAAGATACTGACCAGTCGGTTGTTGGCGACGAGAGGGCCGCCGGAGTCGCCACCGCAAGTGCTGCGACCATTTGCACCGCTCGTACACAACGTGGAGGACACAATGATGGAGGATCCGAAGGTGTTTCTGCAGACGGCGTTGGTGATAACCTGAAGACGAACGTGCGACAGCGCCTGGTTGTTACCGATGTTGCCTCCTGCAAAACACATCATATCTCAAACTTTCATTTGAACTACACTAAAAAGTTGAAGGATAAAGAAAAATAATTGAGCATTATATTGGCAGCAGCATTTCTGTAGGCGACAACAAACTGTTTGAAGCAGTCCATTTATTTTGACTTTTAACTGAACTACGCTATTTATAGTGAGTTCGCGCATTCTTTGCACCAACTAATGGCCGGAATGGATGCACGACTGCGAATGTGTCCGGGGTAAAGGAAAGGAATCACGTACCGTCCCTGGTAATTCCGAAGCCGGCTGCGTCCGCCCACGTGCCCGCTAAGTCGTTGTTGCCCGACGCCAATGCTATGCGGTTGATGTTGTCTGCAACACAAACGTATCTCATTAGTAATACTAATAAAATTCAAAGGCCACAAACTACTCATCTTTTGTCAATGTTTTTGTCTGTAGGCCATCAACAGTAACACTTACTGTTGAAGCTAACTGAGTTGATGGTGATGACAGCAACGTCGTTGTTTGCGTTCCTCGGGTTCCAGTTGTTGTGCATCTGTACTCTGTTGGTGTTGATACGGGAACCGCCGGAGAAGAGACGGACGGACCCGAGAACGACGGTGAACTGACGCGCCTGGTTGCGGCCGTCCCACCAGCAGTGGGCGGCGGTCACCAGTCTGGTGTTGGACAGCAGTGAGGAGCCGCAGACGGAGGTACGTCCGTTGGTGAGTGTGATCACCAGACCACCCTGCGTATTACACAGATCATTAGATAATATCTTTCTTGTTGGATTCATCAAGCAAAAACCTCATCTAGCTCTTGTTTTGTGCGAAATGTGTAATTTTTTTTTTCGTGCTTCCACTCTACTACGCCTACTCTAAACTACGCCTAATTCAGAAATAAGTGTTCATATACTGTTTTCAGAACTGAGACATACCATGTAGGGGAACGCGCCGAGGCCGGCCTGCGACCCACCGACGATCCTGCCGCCGTCAAAGTCCGCGGCGAGCTCCGACTGACGGATCTGCTCCGCCTTTTGGATTCCCTCCGACTCGTGGTAGTACAGCACGATGGGTTCCTCCGCACTCGCGCACCCCAGCGCCACCACGCAGCATACGGCGACCAGCAACAACCTCATGATGACAAGCGATGTCTAAATCTGATCACTCTGATGCAATGTCAGTTTATATATCATTTAACCTGCTGTCAGATTATTGATGTAACGATAATGTCATCCTGTATTAATATATGATGGATATACATAAGTAATTATCTCCAAAATAATAAAAAGTTATCAAATTTACATTCGGACGTTCCTATCTATTGCGATTTCTACTTTTAATTGAATTGTGTCTTGTTATTTTTACTGTATTAATAATAATTTCTACTACATAGTCTACAGATTACATTATATTACGTAGGGACAGGACGAAAAAACCGAATTGGAATGCTGTGCAGTGCTCAAATTAAAGGAAATTAGCTGTCGCTCGAGACTAAGGTCGCGCGAAGTTAAAAAAAATTGCCTATATGTTCTTCTAGACTTTGTTTTACATCTAGTACAAATTTCAGCCAGATCCATGAAGCCGTTCTGGATATTTTGTAACAAACATACATCCAAACTGTCAAGTGCGATCCCCGAATGCGACCCTCTGTTAAGAACCTCTGAGTTTAGTTAGGTGTTATACAATGTGTCTTGACTGACGTGATAGTTGTATAAATACATAAACACGTCCCTCTCATTCTCCTTCATAAAACAGAGACAGCAATATGTTTGTTTCAATGCAAATATAACGGCGGTCGAGTCGACGGTTACATAAGTAATAATAAAAGTGACGTCACGACGAAAAACAATTGATTGTTAACTTTTAAATACTATCTTTTTACTATCTCTTTCCTTATCCATCCGAGGATTTAATTTAAATCAATTAATATGTTACCGTCATATTGACTAATTCTGCCAAAACGAATAATTACTAAAACAGCAAAATGTTATAATTTTTAAATTCCTTGTCGTCATTTAATTCATAGCAAAATTGTGTTACTGTGTACTGCGTTGTAAAGGAAAACTTCTCTTAGTTAGCTACGACGTTGGTACCCGGACACAGAAAATAGCAGTCGAAAGACAACTTAATCCAACTTGATGACTATTCAGTCTTCTAGATCTTTCTACTTTTAACAAATAAATGGGAAGGTAAATTGTACTGAGCGGGAGAGGGAACGTGTTAAAAGGTTTCTCTTTTATTATCCTCTTTCTGTATGTCCTCTCCTCTGCCCACTAATGTTAAGACAATGCCAACATAGATGCTCCAAAATGCAATTTTTGCACTCGCTCCTTCTTAGATTTCCTTCATTCCTGCAACCACAGCTACGACCACTAAGAAACTCCCAACGAAACTGACATCTGCAATTCGATAGCTCCTGACGAAAAAGATCAATTAAAAAAAAATGAAAATACAGATAATAGTAGAAAATAATATTCATAGTGCGAAGCGTCGCATACAGAGTTATAGAGGTAGGCATCAGCAATTATACGTAAGCAATGTTTCATATGTCAATAAACAACAATCACTTCGCTGTTTAAGTTTGCTCGCATTAAAGTTACTAATACAAAAAAAATGACATGATCGGGCATTATCCATACTGACATATCGATCACATTGTCTACAACATAAGTTATCATGTGACATAAAGGCAATAATAATTGATTACTTTATGTAAAGATAAAATAAACGTTGTATTGTTATCTATGTGAAAATAATTGTCAGTTACTATGATACTATCAGTTTGATTTATTCTATTTACATGTATTCATTAAAAATAACAGCACTTTACTGGAGACAATTTGTGTTATGTATGCGCTTGCACTATGCGTAAATAGGAACGGTCGGCTGCGTCCGACCTGTACGAAAGGTGACATCATTAAAGAGAGTCTGCACTGAGCAACCTTTGTTTTGATTACTCCCCATACTTATAAATTTTCTTCTATAGAAGTAACGCCATCTGTTGATAAATAGACAAAACATGTCGGTGTCTATAAAAGTATTTAATTATCGGTCATTTATTTTATGATGTATTAAAATCATAAAAATGACTGACTTTATTTTTATAAATAAAATATTTCTTCTTCAATATCTTACTATTATAAATGCGAATGTTTAGATGAATGGATGTTTGTTTGAAAGTATCTCCAGAATGGCTTCTTTCTAGCTAGTATGCTATAAAGAAATTGACAATAATGACAAATCATTCCTATATGTAGCTTGAACAGATACTATACATTACTTTAAATTTAAATATTTGTTCGTAACTGTAAAGGCGCGCTGCCGGCGGGGAAGCAGCGCGGGGGTCCCTGGCAGTCCTCACCCGCCGCCCCGCGCGCCCCCTCACACCGCGTCGAACGTTCATCGGTTGCAAACAGTTCAGTTCAGTTGCGCTGTAGCACTCCGCGCGCTCACATGTCTAACATCCTCACCTTATGTTTTGTACATATATTAGTTTTTATATCATCATGAACCAGAATCACCTTTCATTATAACACATAGTACACACGCTCAACAATATTTTTATTTAATTTTATACAATGCGTGGTAAACTTGACAACTGAGAAACACGACAGAGCCAGCGACCAGCGAAACAATTTAGTTTATTATGTCTCCTCTATATATTCTTAAATGTTTTCACACTACAAGTTTCGTCTGTTGGATGTGCGTGCCGGACCCGGACTATTCTCTTAAAGAAAGTATGGGTAGGAAAAGTTTATTTGATGGAGGAGAAGACGCATAGGAAGGGTAAGATATTATATTTCTGTGCGTCTCCTTTGTCAATTAAAGATCGGCAACGCATCTGTAATTATGGATGGCTAGGCAGCGCTTCACCATCGCGGCGAATTTATGTGGCCACTTGATCGTTTGCCACGTTGTAATTTAAAATAAATTCCAGCTTGATACCTTCATGCATTTTAGAGAAAATGGTCTTGACGTACAACAAAGTGATCCTATAAGGGTTCCGTTTTTTTTTTTCCCTAAGAGGTACGGAACCAATGAATATCAAGCTTGTTATTTTATTAAACAAAGTCAAAATAACAACTCAGTTCTACACTTACAAAATCTTGTTGAGATCTGACTTCTAATGATTGCTTAGTAATGTTTGCATGTGTATGTGCCCGCGCGATGCCGGGGCGCGGCGCTAGTGTTATGAAGATAAATAACAATTAATTATAAACGAGGAACAAAACTGATATTATATTAATCAGATAATCTTCATTATTACGAAATGTCATACATATAGTAACAGCTCCTCACTTTACACTTATACATATTAATACTTTGTTTAATACTAGCGGACCCGACAGACGTTGTCTGACAATTTGACACTACGATGGTAGCGCCGTCTGTCGGATCCAATGTAAAACATTACAAAATCAACAACTACTAATAAATTAATTAAAAAAAACATTGTCCAGCGGACAAAATTGTGAATCTAAACCATTCCCAGATCCCCTTGAACACACAAAAAGTTTCATCAAAATCGGTCCAGTCGTTTGAGAGAAGTTCAGTGACATACACACTCACAGAACAATTATATATATATAAAGATAGATATACCATATGTTATTATCTTACTAATAATATAAATACAAAAGTTTCTAAGTATGGATGGATGGATCTCGCTGTGACACAGATGTAGAACATAGGCTGGAAGAAATATAGTCCACTTATTAAGTTTTTGTTTTAAATTAAAGACAGAGACGCGGACGGCAGC